TTGATGATGGTGTATAATGACGGCTGAGAGCTTGCGGTTCACAAACAACCAAAAGTGACCTCTCTCATCCACTCCAATCGCATCGAGAGTGCAGAAACATATCCCGCACCTTTTCAAGTCTGAGCGGGGGAAAAAAATCAGAGAATTTCCAGAAGAGAAACTGTTGCTTTTTCTGCCTTTGAAAATTGGCTTTTGTTCCTAACAATTCTTATCAAAGCCTTGTATTCCTTTTTATTTGTCTTTTCCTGGACTTAAAGTCATTACCGAGCCCAGATTAAAGAAGATGCTACAATTTTCTTTGGGGTTACCGAGATCAAAGCAAAAATTCTCCTTGAAGTCTGCGTGAGTGGAACTGCTCACCGCTGCACTCAACTCAACGATTGTTCGCCGAGCTCGAGAGCTGGTGGTTTGTTCAGCAATATCTCAATATTAACTACTATATATTAAATAAAAGCAGTCAACTAAACAAAGAGGGGGATTTTTCAAAAGCAGCTGAAGCTAAACAAAGAACATAATCCATAGATAAAAATGCCTTCCTGTGCATTCGCATGCAAAAAATCTTTACGATACTGTAGCTACAGAAGAGAAAAATCACTAAATGAAGATTAAATAGAGACGTTTCTCCTCGTGTTTCTGATGAAAAGGGATCTCGACAGTGTTCTGCACTTTGAAACATTTCTCAAACACTTCTCATCCCTCGATCAAATGATCTGAGCTGCTCTCCACTCGTTTATAACTCTATAATCACTCTGTATGACAACTCTGACAACATTAGTGAACTAAACGAGTTAACGTGAACCATCAGTGAACAATACTTCTACGGCTTTTATTCATCTTAATTTTGTCATTTACTTTTATGTTTTCAAATGAGACGCTGGATGCGTTAACGCACTGTGAACTAACACAAACAAACAATCAATGCATGCATTTCTATTTGCTTGCATTAACCGATATTAATAAATCCTTTAAAAATAGATTGTTCATTGTTAGTTAATGCATTAGGTGTTCGCATTTGTATTTTTACTAATGACTTTCAGAATAAATACCTGAGGGGAAAAACATACTGAGATATGAAAGAGCCACCTCTGAGCAATACAATTTTCCTCTTCAACTTAGTTGAATTGTTTTTGATCTTTTTTGTGGTGTTTTGGTATTAAAGGGGCAGTTCACCCTAATACAGTATATGACTTTCTTTCTTCTGAGCCACACCAAAGAGATGATATTTATTAAGATGGTATTACGATATTCTAAGATATTACTTCCACAGACTAAAAACACTGAAACATTTCTCGTAATAGCATCTTCAATGTTCCTCAGAAGGAAAAAGGGTCACACTATAGTATTTCTCACTATTAACTATCTATAAACTATGACTTTTGCTTCAATAAACTGCTTATGAATAGTTAGTAAGGTAGTTTAGGTATGAGGTGGATTAAGGGATCTAAAATATGGTCACGCAGAATAAGGCATTAATATGTGCTTTATACAATAAGTGCTAATATACAGCCAAAATGTGTGTGTGACCCTGGAGCACAAAACCAGTCATAAGGGTCTTTTTCTTTTCTTTTTTTAGATTTATACAACATCTGAAAGCTGAATAAATAAGCTTTCCATTGATGTATGGTTTGTTAGGATCGGACAATATTTGAAAATCTGGAATCTTGAGGGTGCAAAAAAATCTAAATATTGAGAAAATCATCTTTAAAGTTGTTCAAATGAAGTTCTTAGCAATGCATATTACTAATCAAACATTAAGTTTTGATATATTTACAGTAGGACATTTACAAAATATCTTCATGGAACATGATCTTTACTTAATATCCTAATGATTTTTGGCATAAAAGAGAAATGTATAATTGTGACCCATACAATGTATTGTTGGCTATTGCTACAAATATCCCCCAGCGACTCAACACTGCTTTTGTGCTGCAGGGTCACAAATGCATTCTAATAAGCAGCTAGTTAATAACGAGAAATTGACCATTAAATAAAGTCCTACAGGTTTGGAACCACATGAGTAAATTATAACACCATGATCGTTTTTGGATGCAATATCTCTTTAAAGTGCTAGAGACGGAGCGTTCAAAGGATATACTGAGCGACATGAAGGAGCTCCTCTCAGCCATGCTCTGCAGATCTCCACGCTCCATCTTGATGTGAGGAAGGCAGAGCGCGTCCACCGACACCAGTCCAGTCTGGTGCTGACCCAGATGCCCCGAGCTCAGCTTGGACCTCATGGCCAGGCTTTCCCACGGACGCTCCACTGAGTCCGGCGAGGACCTCTCCAGACAGAAGGTGGAGTGAGGGCCGTACTTCAGCAGGTGCTCCAGGATCTGGCTGTCGTGTAGAGGAGCGTTGTAGCCCATCTGGAAAGGCGTCTGGTGCAGCGGGAAAGGTCTCTTCACAGCCTGGCTCAGAGAAGGTTTACGGACCACCAGGGACAAGGCTTCGGTCTGGTGCTCCGGGCCGTGGCTCTCAAAGCAATGCCTGCTATTGACGTTTTCCTCAGAATCCGACAGATCTGAAGGGGAGTCCTCTGGGATCCGCTTCTCGGTTTCCGAGCAGTCCGGACTGTGGCATGGGGATGACTGGTTCAGAAGAGTCGTGGAGAGCTTCTTGAAGACCGTATCGATGCTTTCGCTCACAGTCCTGGTCAGCTCGCATTTGAGAGTCTCTTTGAGGTTCTTCATCGCCCTGTCGGAGCCGAAACCACCGGGTTCCACTTTGACTCGGTCTTTGTGTCCACCATCTAGCCTCAGACTCGAGTGCTCTGACCTCGCATCTTCCCGTTCCTCGCTCTCCGAGTAATTCTGGTCGTGCACGTGCAAGATCTTCTCCTGGAGCTGATGCAGGAGACGCTGCATGCTTTGGAGCTGCTCCTTGAGTTTGTGGCACTCCTCGTCTTTGCTGGTCTTTGGTTCCTGGTGCTGGGGGAGCCTCTGCTTGCGTTTGTTCTCCTTCAGGAGGTCTCTTCTACAGCGGACGGCTTCGCACTCGCTCTCCGCTTCTCCGTCGGCGTTGGGCGAAGCAGCCATGCCTCGTATGATGTTCTCCACCCGGGCGCGTTTGGCTTGGAGGTGCTCGCTCACAGACAGATCCTCGTCTTTGAAGGACAGGCAGCTCTGCTCCTCTCGAGCAAAATCATCGGCGCTGTTGGACTCGGGATCGAAGCCGCTGGCGTTTGAGGAGGGCAGGTAAAGGAGGCTGTTGTCCAGTGAGGTCAGTTTATTGTGAATGGTTTTCCGCAGGAGGTGAGATATGATGGAGCCGCTGTGGTAGGACGCCAGAGGCTCGTCAAACGCGCTTCTGCGGAAACAAGGGAGCAAGTGCTCGGCTTTGCTGCCGTCCATGCTGTGTTCAGGCGGGCTCAGGTTCATGGTGTTCGCAGGCTGCAGTTGCTGGACTTTCCAGACACAATAATGAGCCTCAGAAGTGCGTGATCTGTAATACTTTGTAAAAAAAACTAAACAAAAAAATAAATAAATAAATTAGGCATTACAATAACTATGCATTAAGCCCTCATATGTAGCTCCTACATTACATAAACAGTATTACGCTCTTATCCATAAATGCAATACTTTGTAAAAAAATAATTAAAAAAGAAAAAAGAAAATCTGAAATAAAATACATTACAATATCATTGCATTACGATTACTCTGCATTAAGCAGATGTAGGTCCTACATTATTATAAACTGTATTACACTCTTATCCATAAATATATGCAAGATCAATGGCGCACAAGCAAATGTCATATTCAAACATATATTCATATTCATTCAGTGTTTTGTTTATTAAAATAATCCTGTTTAACATGTTATGATTTCTCTACAAACAGATCAAACTGAGAAATTATATAAAAGATTTCAAAAGAAAAAACATGTAACTAAAAATACAGAAGCAAAAAAAAACTATATATATATTTAAAGAAACACGAAACACGTTTCATTCGTTTTCAGTCACATTCTTGTGATATTAATACACTTGTTTTCTAATGCTCTCTGTATATTAATCTGAATATATATATATATATCTATATGCTTTCGCACTCTCTTCATACTTTTAACGTGAATGTTCAATGTAAAAATGAATATGAAACATACTTACATATTTGAGTACGTGTCTTCTGTCTGTCGTTTCATATGTTTATACTTTTCATATTAGTATTATAATGAAGAATGACACAAAGATATTTTCCCCCAAAGAGAGCTGTTGATGAGAGGCACTCAGCAGGTGATGAGAGCTCAGCTTACCTGTTGCTCTGGAGACGCTTGACTGACAGTGTGTGCTCGGCGCGCGCTCTCCTCTCGCTGCAGGCAGGTGGGCGTGGCTGAGCCGCCCTCAATCAACACACCAGCCAATCAGAAACGGCACACAACTGTCCATCAATAACTAGAAAGAGTGCCTCCTGATTTTAAAGTAGTTTCGTGAATTTTACTTTGAACCTTTCGCTTTTGGAGAATTTCTTATACAGAAAAGAAGATTTGGCATATCTATATCATATTTCACAAAGTCTAAATAAGTTTGTTCTGTTTATTATGTATTTTAAATATAAAAATCTACTATTGTGTAGCTCAGTATAATTGAATAGGCTACTAGAAATGAAAAATGTGTTTGTTTTATCCTATTTTCGTCAATTTAGGTGTTTTGTTAATCATCGTTGCTGGAACAGCTGGAATTATAGGCTGTTAGGCGTTGATGCTTTGATTTGGTTGGTTTGTATGTTTCCTGCTCCTCATTAAAAAAAATAACCACAAAGAATAACATATCTCTATAGAATAAAAAATATTAAGTAGCCTAGTAGTTTATGTGTGTGTGTGTGTGTGTGTGTGTGTGTGTTTGTGTCTGTGAGTGAGTGTGTGTATGTGTGTGTGTGTTTGTGTCTGTGAGTGAGTGTGTGTGTGTGTGTGAGTGTGTGTGTTTGCAAAATAATGTCTGTGGTTAAATTTTCTTAAAGCTAGATGTAAGATTTGTGTTCTAAATTACTATATAAATATAAATTACATACAGTCATAGACGTGAACCAGCAGGACAGTATTTATGAAGATGCGTTACACATATGGCACAATGAAAGTCATAAATTATAATGCATTACAATATTTTATTATTGCCATTTTATTCTGTATAGGAAATTGCATTATTACTAAAAAGAAATTAGAAATGATAAATAGTATAGGCCTAAAGCATACAGTGTGCTTAGTACACAAAAGTATCTAGTGCACATGTAGTATTATGAAATGTAGACTGTGTTTTAATGAATTATATGTAATTATATGTATATTCATTTTGAATTCTATGCACGGGGTTTAGCTACATTGCATTGAATGCAGCACTATTGCATAAAGAAAATAATCCAGTCATCAGTCAAATTTAATGTTGTATATTACGAATATTGTTGGATCCACTTATGGATCGCGTTCGGATAAAAGCGTCGGCTAAATGTAAATGAGTACAGTTTTTTAATATATATACAAAATCAAATATATCAAAATTCGGTATGTACTGAATTTACTCATTATATATAGGCCAATGGAGACTTATTTATCCACAAGTGTTTATTATTATACCTATTTTGATGCGATTTATGTTATTGCACTGGTATGCTGCTTGTTCTAAAGAAAAAAAGAGTAAAACCAGTGGGAAATCAATGGTACATTCCATTCACCCCTCTCTGGTTCATCATGGTATGCTCCGCTCGGTTTCCGGTTGGCGGCGGCGCTGTTTCCGGTGCTGTGCTGTGAGAGCTGCAGTGCGTGCGGTCCACCAAGACGACATGTTATCCCGTTCCCGCGGTCTCTCCCGGAGCCTCGGCCGCTCGATCAGCGCCCTGCGGCAGGTAACGTGTGTGTGTGCCCGGTGTGTGTGCCGCGGAGTGTCCAGGAGACCGTTACCCGGCAGCGGAATGGCGCGGAGCGGTAGGCCGCGGGCCCAAGGGCAGCAGGACACTCCGAGACAGACCGTGTTTACCTCACATTAATCACATCTACACCAGCCTCTCGTTATGATGAGCCTTAAACACACGCTGTACATGAGTGAGGGCTGCTGTCGAGAATAGCAGAGAATAACAACAGGCCTGAAGCACTGCTAATACTCGTGTTGGCTGTCATCGCGATTAATCGCATCCACAATACAAGCTGTTGTTTACCTGATAATAACAGGCTGCTGATATTCATACATGCTGTCTGCTGATGCTCTGCATCACCTTCACTGTTTGCATTATCATCAGTATGTTTAATATCTGCCAGCGCAGTTAATGTGCCGTCATTTCTAGCGGTGTTAATCGTCACTGGTTTCACGATTCGATATCGCGGTGCGTCACGGTTATATCCAATTTAGTTTGTGCGTTTTTATTAAATTATATAAGCAGGCTGCTTTTACAAATAATGACAGATTACAAATAAATCAAAACCGTTGTTAAGAACTTAACCAAATAAATATAGCGTAATAATATTAACGTAATAAAGGGGGGAAAGACTATTAGAAGTGATAAACAAAAAGGACTTTTATTATCTTGTGAGTGCTTTAAGTTCCGAACATTTACACACAATCTTCTGAGATCTCTGGCTATAGCTGAAAATATACTGTAGGTCATTTTCATAATATATCAGTCATACATTTTTTTCTCAGTATTTGTTTAAAATGTGTTTAATTTCATCTTATTTGCAATAATTTAATTGAACTGTATTTTTATATATCTGTAATAAATCGCCACTAGTAGAAAATACATTTATGTAGATGAGAACTAAGACTGAACCACAGCTATAATTGACCAGACTTTTTTAAGAATACTGAAGGGTAATACATTTATCTGCATCGTTTAGTAGTTGTCGAAGTCCTCCCAGCTGCCCCATTGGTCTTCCTAACGTCCCGTTGACCTGTAGACCCTCTCGGACTGGGACATAGATGATCACGTGACACACATGCAGCTGTACATGCCTTCAGCACGGGCCTGTGTGTCTGTCAGATGCAGCATGTAGCTGTGCTTGTGGGCTAAAGCTTTGCCTTCATGTTGGTCTGCACTGCTACAGAGTGTGAGTGATCAGTAGTTAGTGGCAGCAGGACAGCTGGTGTATGTTAAACTATAACATGTTAAGATCCTTCCTCTTAGTTCATCATATTCCTAATGTCCTTGCTTAAAATTCATCTATTTGTTAAAAAAGCTAACTATATATATATATATACGGTCTCTCCCGGAGCCTCGGCCGCTCGATCAGCGCCCTGCGGCAGGTAACGTGTGTGTGTGCCCGGTGTGTGTGCCGCGGAGTGTCCAGGAGACCGTTACCCGGCAGCGGAATGGCGCGGAGCGGTAGGCCGCGGGCCCAAGGGCAGCAGGACACTCCGAGACAGACCGTGTTTACCTCACATTAATCACATCTACACCAGCCTCTCGTTATGATGAGCCTTAAACACACGCTGTACATGAGTGAGGGCTGCTGTCGAGAATAGCAGAGAATAACAACAGGCCTGAAGCACTGCTAATACTCGTGTTGGCTGTCATCGCGATTAATCGCATCCACAATACAAGCTGTTGTTTACCTGATAATAACAGGCTGCTGATATTCATACATGCTGTCTGCTGATGCTCTGCATCACCTTCACTGTTTGCATTATCATCAGTATGTTTAATATCTGCCAGCGCAGTTAATGTGCCGTCATTTCTAGCGGTGTTAATCGTCACTGGTTTCACGATTCGATATCGCGGTGCGTCACGGTTATATCCAATTTAGTTTGTGCGTTTTTATTAAATTATATAAGCAGGCTGCTTTTACAAATAATGACAGATTACAAATAAATCAAAACCGTTGTTAAGAACTTAACCAAATAAATATAGCGTAATAATATTAACGTAATAAAGGGGGGAAAGACTATTAGAAGTGATAAACAAAAAGGACTTTTATTATCTTGTGAGTGCTTTAAGTTCCGAACGTTTACACACAATCTTCTGGCTATAGCTGAAAATATACTGTAGGTCATTTTCATAATATATCAGTCATACATTTTTTTCTCAGTATTTGTTTAAAATGTGTTTAATTTCATCTTATTTGCAATAATTTAATTGAACTGTATTTTTATATATCTGTAATAAATCGCCACTAGTAGAAAATACATTTATGTAGATGAGAACTAAGACTGAACCACAGCTATAATTGACCAGACTTTTTTAAGAATACTGAAGGGTAATACATTTATCTGCATCGTTTAGTAGTTGTCGAAGTCCTCCCAGCTGCCCCATTGGTCTTCCTAACGTCCCGTTGACCTGTAGACCCTCTCGGACTGGGACATAGATGATCACGTGACACACATGCAGCTGTACATGCCTTCAGCACGGGCCTGTGTGTCTGTCAGATGCAGCATGTAGCTGTGCTTGTGGGCTAAAGCTTTGCCTTCATGTTGGTCTGCACTGCTACAGAGTGTGAGTGATCAGTAGTTAGTGGCAGCAGGACAGCTGGTGTATGTTAAACTATAACATGTTAAGATCCTTCCTCTTAGTTCATCATATTCCTAATGTCCTTGCTTAAAATTCATCTATTTGTTAAAAAAGCTAACTATATATATATATATAATTATGGAATTTTATATTTTGCAATAAAATATTTTTATTATGATATCTTATTTTAAGTACTGTGTGTGTGTGTGAGTGAGTGAGTGAGTGAGTGAGTGAGTGAGTGAGTGAGTGAGTGAGTGAGTGAGTGAGTGATAATTATGGAATTATATATTTTGCAATAAAATATTTTTATGATGATATCTTATTTTAAGTACTGTGTGTGTGAGTGAGTGAGTGAGTGAGTGAGTGAGTGAGAGTGTGTGTGAGTGAGAGTGTGTGAGTGAGAGTGTGTGAGTGAGAGTGTGTGAGTGAGAGTGTGTGAGTGAGAGTGTGTGAGTGAGAGTGTGTGAGTGAGAGTGTGTGAGTGAGAGTGTGTGAGTGAGAGTGTGTGAGTGAGAGTGTGTGAGTGAGAGTGTGTGAGTGAGAGTGTGTGTGTGCGTGAGTGTGTGTGTGTGTGTGAGAGTGAGTGTGCGTGAGAGTGAGTGTGCGTGTGCGTGAGAGTGCGTGTGCGTGTGCGTGAGAGTGCGTGTGCGTGAGAGTGCGTGTGCGTGAGTGTGTGTGTGTGCGTGAGTGTGTGTGTGTGCGTGAGAGTGAGTGTGTGTGTGTGCGTGAGTGTGTGTGAGTGAGTGTGCGTGAGTGAGTGTGCGTGAGTGAGAGTGAGTGAGTGAGTGAGTGTGCGTGTGTGTGTGTGAGTGAGAGTGAGTGCGTGTGTGAGTGAGAGCGTGCGTGTGTGAGTGAGAGTGAGTGTGTGTGTGCGTGAGTGAGTGAGTGAGTGAGCGTGTGTGTGTGTGAGTGAGAGTGAGTGCGTGTGTGAGTGAGAGAGTGAGTGTGTGTGTATGAGTGAGAGTGTGTGTGTTAGAGAGAGTGTAGAAACGCTGCAATGCTTTGGCAATACAAATGT